GGGGCAGCCTGTGGGGGATGGGGAGGAGGAAAGGGGGCAGCCTGTGGGGGATGGGGGATGGGGAGGAGAAGAAGGAGGGACTGTTCCCAGCCTTGCCATTGGCCTGGTTGGCATCCTTGAGCAAGCCTTTTACCCGCTCAGTGCCTCAGTTTCCCCTTTGGTAGAATAGAAGGCCTGATAGTGCCCTCCTTTGTGAAGAGCTTCCGGAGCCACTGATGAGACGTACTGGAAAGGGGGCAGCCTGTGGGGGATGGGGGATGGGGAGGAGAAGAAGGAGGGACTGTTCCCAGCCTTGCCATTGGCCTGGTTGGCATCCTTGAGCAAGCCTTTTACCCGCTCAGTGCCTCAGTTTCCCCTTTGGTAGAATAGAAGGCCTGATAGTGCCCTCCTTTGTGAAGAGCTTCCGGAGCCACTGATGAGACGTACTCTTGAGAGAGCTAGGTGGTACTGCTCTCCTAGGAGGAGTGATGAGGTCGGATAAGCCTGGCCGTGGTGTCCAACATGCTAGCCACTATCCACGTGTGGCTATTTGGCTGGTTGAGTGTGGCTAGTTGGCTATAGCAGTGGCCACTAGTGGCTACTGCTTCAGAACTAGTTGGATACCACAGTTACAAGGGCTGGGAAGAGGAGCCGTGGAGGAAGAGAAGGGGCAGTGGGTATGGGGAGGCTGCACAGCCATAACAAGGGGGAGAAATGAAGACCTGAATTACAGAGTAAAGCAGCTCTTAGGGTCTTGCAATTTCAGCTTTGCTTAAGAGACTTACAAAGTCACTAATGAGCTGTTTAATGGATTAGAGTGAGGGGTAAAGGGAAAGGAGGAAGCTGGGAGTCAGGATGCCAGGGTTCTGTTCCCCAGCTTTAGGCAGGAAGTAGGGGCTATATGAGGAGGCTACACCTGGGCCCCACTTCTAACTGTTGCTGCCTCAGTTTGTGGCCACCTGAGGGCTGTGATGATTCATGCATTAATATTTATAAAGAATTTGGGGGCACTGGCCTGGAAGATGTTACAGAAAGATAAGTATTAGGAACCTGGAATGCGCATATGCAAAAAGTCAGGATCCTAAGGAAGGACAACATCAGGCACGTCTTGGAATCAGAAAACATCATAGTCTTTGAGTAATGTTGACTGCACTTCCCCACCACTGTCTCTCTTTCTTCCAGAATGAATGTTGGGGTGGCCCACAGTGAGGTGAATCCCAACACCCGGGTGATGAACAGCCGTGGCATCTGGCTGGCCTACATGATCTCGGTGGGAGTTCTCCATGTGATTCTCCTCAGCATCCCATTCTTCAGCATTCCAGTGGTCTGGACCCTTACTAATGTTATACACAACCTGGTGAGTGAAAGCTCAGCTTCCCAGCGTGTCTTCCTGCACTGCTAGAAAGTAGGGATGTTAACATGTAGATGACTACAAGATGAACCGACAAGCTTGGGCTTATTGGTTAATCCTGTTGACTATGTGCATTGCCCTCCACCCCCTTGCTACCTCTGTATCAGAGGCAGCAAGTGGGGGGAGGTGAGAGCCGGTCCCCATGGGAAGCTGGTTTTTAAACCATCTCCCCACAAGCACCGGATCCACCTGCTCCACCACCCCCGCACTTCTGCCTCTGGTAGCGTGGAGGGGAAGCAGGCAGGAGCCAGCTTTTAAGTTGGCTTTGTGTGTGTGCCAGCTTTGCGAATCCATCTGCCTCTGCACCTTGCTGATTCCTTCAGAGGCAATGGGGGGGACAGGACAGGCAGGAGCCAGTGCAGTGGAGAACCCACTTAAAAGCTGGCTCCCCCAAGCACTGGCTCCACAGGCCCCCTGCCCCTCTTTGCCCCCACTGCTGCCTCTACAAAAGGAGAACTTGTCTCCCCAGCCAGACCTTTTCTAAAACTGAACATGCTGTTTGACTCTAGTCTTCTGTAACAATGAGTTCCATAGATCTGCTGCCCTCTAGCTTTGGGTCCTGTCCGCTCTTGCCCCACTTGTGTGCTAATGGTACAACAGCAGAAGGACTGCCACTCTCCTTACACCTTCCCTTCCTGTGGAAATTGCAGGTTATGTACTGGTTTCTTCACACTGTGAAAGGAACCCCGTTTGAGACACCGGACCAGGGCAAGGATCGCCTCCTCACACACTGGGAACAGATAGACTATGGGACGCAGTGCACCTCCTCCCGCAAATTCCTCAGCATCTCGCCGGTAGTCCTGTAAGTGTTTGTTCCTGCTGTGGCAGATCATCTGTAAAGCTCCGGGTGGCATTTCATTTTTGGGACCTGCCTATGGTAGGAGTGCTCCAAACCAGAGTGACAGCACCTGGGCATTCAGTGGGGTTACCTATATTTCCCCTCCTCTCCAGTATCCCTGTGTAGGCCAAGAAGACTCTACCTCACGAGGCAGGGCCCCAGCTTTAGCTGAGCAGGTATGACTGGCCCAGAGGAGAGGATGGGACCACTGTAGTCTGCATGAAGCCAAACTGAATCACTAGCCTATGCTGGGCTCTCTCCTATACAGGGAAAGCCACCTCGGCTATAGAGTACGTTGGTTGTTGGTGGAACTGGCCAGAGCCCCGTGGCTGCCCTCTGACTATTGCATCTAGAGGGTACAAGCTCTCTGGCCTGAAACAAACCAGTGGGTATCATAACAGTCCTTGGCTAGCTTGTACACAGAGCACCCTGGCTGCTAGCAGCTGGCCCCTTGGCTGGCACCACTGAAGCACCCAGGGCAGCATGGGCTCTAGTGACTGGACTCTGGCCATGCAGGGGAAATGGTTCTGTGGCATGAGTAAGGTGCTTTGGCTGGGGAATCTTACATCACACCCCTCCCCCCCACCACTATAGGGAGGGTTTCAGTCTTCAGCTGCCAATCCAGCCTCAGAAATTGCTTTTGTGTGCTGTCACCCCAGGCAGGACTGGATGGCTGCAGAACTAACCCTGCCTCCGTCTCTCTTCCAGTTACCTCCTCACCAGCTTTTATACCAAATACGACCCTGCACATTTTCTAATCAACACGACCTCCCTCCTCAGCGTCCTCCTCCCCAAGCTGCCCCAGTTCCACGGCGTGCGTGTCTTTGGCAT